AGTAACTCCTCACTTAAAGTCATCCCGGTTAATGTTGTTTCGTTGTTACGTTGCTGATCAATTAGAGAACATGCTCGTTTAAAGTTGTGCAATGCTCCCTTATAACGTTGTTTGGCAGCCGCCTGCTTTGTTCACTGCTTGCAGAAAGAGCAGCCCGTTGCAGCTGGCTGGTGGGGGCTTGGAACTAGGGTGGATTGGCAGCCCACCTATCAGCTCCCCACTCCCCTAAGTTCCCTGTGCGACAGCCGCCCAACAGGCTATCAATTGCTGGGAAGTTCAGCTGTCCCTCCCCCTCACTGCCTTGTGCTGCTCCTGCCCTCTGCCTTGGAGCTGCTCCCGGGAGCCTCCTGCTTGCTGTATGGGGGTGGGGGTTGAAGAAAGGTGCTAATGTCAGGGTATCCCCCTCCCCCCTGCTCTTGCCCCACGCTTACCCCATCTCCATAGAGCATGGGAGGGACATGACAGGGCTCAGGACAGAGGGAGCTTGCTTGCAGCAGCTGCTGTCTCAACTTGCTGATCTACTTAAAAGGGCAGTGTACTTAGAGTGGTCTCAGCGTCCTTAAAGGGGCAATATGCGCGTCTCTCTCTCTCTCTCACACACACACACACGGTGTATGTCTCTGTCTCTCTCTGCCATGCTGTCTCCACTCCCTCCATTCATGCTGCTTTGTAGAGTGTGAGGCTACATTAACAACAATGTATTAACCCTTGAGGGCTCAGCCAAGTGCTAGTTCATCCTTTAGCAGTAAGGCATTCCCTGGGAAATATCCCACCCTCAGACTCCACCACCTCAACCAAGCTTCACAATCATCATTGCTGTGTACACTATCAAATTGTTTGTTTAAAACTTATACTGTGTATATGTGTGCATATGTATATATATATAATGTAGTCTTTTGTCCGGAGAAAAAAATTCCCTGGAACTTAACCTCCCCTATTTACATTAATTCTCATGGAGAAATTGGATTCACTTAACATCATTTTGCTTAAAGTAGCATTTTTCAGGAACATAACTACAACGTTAAGTGAGAAGTTACTGTACAGGATTTTACCTGCAGGTCTGACACTTCTGTGAGCCTAAATTTCAGAAGGGGGTGGGGACTGGGTTGCCACATTTGTAATTGCTGGTAACTGGACCCCCCCGAGTCTCCAACCCTGCTCTGCCTCTTCCCCAAAGCCCCACCTCTTTCCTCAAAGCCCCGCCCCATCACTCGCTCCTCTTTCCCCCTCCCCACATCGCTTGCTGGATCATCTCAAGGAGCCTGCCTGCAGGTAGGAGGTAGCCCCAGCTGGTGTGGGTTAATGACCCAGTGCCTTTCCCCATCCCGTGGTAACCAAACTTTTGGTTTGGGTGCAATTTAGGGTTGCCAGGTCCCCAAAAACAAGGCACCTTGCAACCCAAAATGGCACCCGAACACAGAAACCAAAAATCAGACTGCCCAGGTAAAAACCAGACAGGTGGCAGCCCCAGGCAGGGTGGGAGTGTTCTACTCGAATACATAGTACAGGCTTCCCTTAGCTAGGAGTTCTTAAAATTAATCGTCTTTTAAAAATAAATAGCTGTGTGAATTCAAACTAATTTTGCAGACCTCCATAATACTTTGGGAGTTTTGTAAACCCTTGTACATTGCAAATTTACTTACCTCTAATTTTTCACTGCACAAATCTTTTATTTCTTCCGAATTTTCCCCCATCAAATATAACCACCTATTTTCAGCACAGCAATATAGTAGAATATAATTTTGTGAAATTTATCCGTCAAATCTGAACACAGTAAATGTCATCAGCTCTTAGCTATTCAAAAAATGTTATGCAATTTTCACTGAATTGTATAAATAATTTAATTAAAATAACTTAATTAGGAAGATAAGAGTCCTAGGAAAATATATATTGTTTTTTGAGTGGCTGATTTATTTGGACTGGCCAATTGACAAAGACATTCTAATTAAAAAGTAAATGGTATAGACAAATGGAAACATTTGGAAAATTAACTACTGCATATTCTACTTATCTTCTTAAGACATTTTCCATTTCAGTCCCTTATATTATAATGTAATTTAATATGACCTTTATTTTTCTATTTACATTTTATTGGCATTTCCATCTTTTACTTCTCAGTTAAACACATTACTTATACAAAATATGGAATAATGAAATAGCATGAAGAGAAAGATGGGAGGGTAGTAAGGAGACTTCAGGTACAGCATGGACAATAGCCATGCCATTAACTCAGAAGGCCAAAAGGGAAATAAGTAAGTGTGCCTCCATTTACAGGTAAAAAGTTGTAGAAAAGTTTATTATAGGTCCCCATGCTTGATACTTCTGCATCTACAAGGACCACAGAAGAGCTTCACTTGTGTATGCTGTATCCTCCTTCATAGTACAAACAAACTCTGTCCTATGTACCACAAACACCTCACTACACCACCCACTGGCACGTGCCCACCAGCTCTGTACATGGAAACTGCCATCTGTGGAGCCCAGCAGCCACTCAAGACGGCAACAAGCAGCAGGTGCCTCCCACATTTGTTGCCTCCTCAGATTTCCCAGCACTCGGAGCCGCCTGGAGCAGTCAATATCCAAAGAGGCTGCTATTCATCTGTGGCTTTTTTGATGTTGCTTAAATTCCCTGTAATGTTAAGCAGAGGGTCCATAGGGTTAGCACACACAGAGGGAAGGCTGCAGGCTGAGATGCACAAGAAGCAGTGCTTGGCCAGGAGAAAGGATAGTTAAGGAGAGCACTGCCACGCACTGGTTGGTGTATTTTGCTTTTTTCAATGGAGGCGCTATCAGGGCGTGGCTAGGCCAATTTGTGTAAAGCACAGCACTGTTTGGTTGAAACTAACGGGGGGCATTTGTGCCCAGGATCGCCCTATAGCAGAGGCAGCACTTATTTCAGAGGCAATTTTACAGTGGCCCTCCAAGAAATTTAACCACCTCACTGCACTGCTTTGGAAAGTAAAGGTGTGTCTGCCAATAGAGCTACCCGTTTAAATTAATGGGTTGGGGACTGCCAGAGAAAAGGGGAAGCTTTTGGACTTACTCCTCGGGTACTGGGGCTGGTCAGTGAAGTCCCTGGTCATCTTCTGTACCCTCTCCCCCACTGTATGTGCCAGTGCTCGTGCTCCCATCCTGAGTACCCCAGAGTCCTTTTACTTCACGGGTGGGCAAACTTTTTGGCCCGAGGGTCACATCTGGGTATGCAAATTGTATGGTGGGCCATGAATGCTCAGAAAATTGGGGGTTGGGGTGCGGGAGGGGGTGAGGGCTCCAGCTGGGGGGTGTGGGCTCTGGGGTGGAGCCAGAAATTAGGAGTTCAGGATGCAGGAGGGGGGGTCCAGGCTGGGGCAGCAGGTTGGGGTGTGTGGGGAGAGTGGGGGCTCCAGCTGGGGGTGCGGTCTCTGGGATGAGGGGGCGGATGAGGGGTTGGGGGTGCAGGAGGATGCTTTGCACTGAGATTGAGGGGTTCAGAGGATGGGAGGGGGACCAGGGCTGGGGGCTGGGGTGTGGAAGGGGTTCAGGAGTGCAGGCTCCGTGTGGCACTTACCTCAAGCAGCAGCATGTCCCCCCTATGTCTCCTACGTGGAGGTGTGGCCAGGCAGCTCTGCATGCTGCCCCATCCACAGGCGCTGCCCCTGCAGCTCCCATTGGCCGTGGTTCCTGGCCGCTTGAGGTAAACACCACTCAGAGCCTGCACCTTTCCCCACACCCCAACCCCCTACCTCAGCCCTGATCCTGCTCCCGCTCTCCAAACACCTTGAACCCAGGCCAGAGCATCCTCCTGAACCCCAAATCTCTCATCCCCAGCTCCACCCTGGAGCCTGGACCTGCAGCGGGAACCTGCACCCCTGCCTCAGCCCTGATCCCCCTCCCACCTTCCAAACCCCTCGGTCCCAGCCCAGAGCACACTCCTACACCCTGAACTCCTCATCCCCAGCCCCACCCCAAAGCATGCACTTCCTCCCACACCTGAACCCCAATTTTGTGAGCATTCATGGCCCACCATACAATTTCTATTCCCCGCTGTGGCCCTTGGGCCAAAAAGTTTGCCCACCCCTGCCCTAGCCCCTTGGACCCACTTTGAGCAAGGGAAGGGTTGGAGTGTTTCTGTTAAAGGGAGGGACTGGGAGAGGCATATCCCAGGGAGAACAGTCCTGCAGCTGACAGCCCTCAAGCCACAGGAAGTGTGTGTGGGTTTTTTTGGAGGGGGAGACGGGGGGGGGCTGGAAACGGTGGGGCTGATGCCTGGGTTATTGAGGCCTATTGCCAGCTCGATGTAAATTACTCCTGGCAGGAAAGCAGGCGGGAGGAGCTAGAACTACTCTCCGCCCCGTGCAATGCCGCGGGATGTCACCAGAGGAGCTGCTGAGCAGCTGCAGCTGGGCTTGGCTTGGCCAGGCCAGCAGCGGCTCAGGGAGCCCCAAGTGGCGGGACCCTCTGAAAGCGGCTCCTGGGGCTGCAGAAGAACCCGCCAGAGGCAGCAGCCCCCGCCTTTCCCCTGGCATCAGGGGCCTGACTGAGGGTGAATGCAGGGCAGGGGGACACGTTTCCCCCCATAGTCAAACATACCCGTGTGTAGCCCCCTCGCCTGTGGGGCCAGGGGAAAAGCCTCCGATGCTGCCAGCCCGGTGCAGCAGGGCTGGGTAAGGAGGGGAGTCCGAGTCCGAGCCCGTGCCCGGCGGGGAAGCGCTCGCCCGGGGAACCTGCCCGCAGAGGACGGGGAGCAGCCGGCGGAGGGGTGAAGTTAAAGAGGGCGTGTGGGACGCCCCGTCGGCGGAGAGCCGAGGGGCGAGCTCCGCCCAGGGTCAGCCGGGCTGCTCAGCCCGAGGGCGAGCCCCGCTCTCCGGGCGGCGCTCGGCTTCTCCTCCTGCTCTGGGAGCCGCCGCCACCGCCCGCGGAGCTGGGACGCGGCTGCCGGGGGCGGGGCGGGAGTCAATGCCTGGTCCAAGCCCTGCTGCGCTCGCCGTTCAGAGAGGAATAATCCAGCTGCATGGGAGGAAATGAACGTGGCGGGGAAGCAGCCGCCTCCAGCACCGCTTGAGCGCCCGGCCAGTCTCCTCGTCCCCACCTGGGCAAGTACACGGCGGTCTCTTTCTCTCCTCTCCCTCCTTCGCCTGCGGGCTCACCCCACCCAGTCCCGAGAGCCTCTCTGGGTCCCCCGCCGCCTCCCCTTAACCGGGCAGCTGTGAGCGATCCTGTCTCGGGAGCACCAGTCTGTCTGCCCGCCTATTTCCCCGGCGGCTTCTAAGGGGCTTTAACTTCTGGGCATGGGAGGTCGCGTTTGTGAGTTGCGCGAGGCTAAGGGCAGCTAAGCGAGGGGGAGTCGGTGGACGAGATGTAGGAGAGTTTGCTGGGGTCGCGCTGCCTTTGCAGTCGGTGCGTGGAGCTGCAGTGCAAACGGGGGCACCGGGAGCGGAGTGCCCGCTAAGAGTTGTGCAGCTGCGGCAAAGCGTGGCGCGGGATCGCTTCGGTGCAGGGTGATTGTTGTTCGGCAATCATCATAAAAAGTTCCGGTGGGAAACCGGCCGCTACTCGTTGTGTCTCTTTCAGATGAGCTGTCCTCTGCTACTGTGAAGGGTGTGTGTGTGTCTGATATGCCCATACACGCGTGCACACACACACTGGTAAATACATCTTCCCAAGCGGGAGTTTCACTCTTCATGGGAGCTGCCTTACATTTAGTTCACTTACAGCTCCTGCTCTCATTGATAGTCGAGGGGGAGTAATTTGTACCCTCCCCATCTCTCTCCAAATACAAGAAACTTTCACTACATTACAGCTACACAAATTAGTGGTATGCTCTTTTTGTTAAATGTTCCCAAAAGGTTGGCAAAGTTTAGTCATGTTCCTTTACGCTGCACCTTTGCCTTTGGAGGGTAAATTTTAAAGCCAGATGTGTGTTTGTATACAGTAATCAGTTGAAAACAGCTGCCAAGCTGCTATTGATTAGTATGTATCAAGTACCGGGTACTTTGTTTTCAATAACAGTATTTAGCGTGTGTACATGTTCTCTATGCTCATTGGCTTAAGTTAGAACACACTGTAAAAAGTTACTTTTCTCAGTGTTTCCTTATGAAATGTTGGAAAGTAGGAAAATAATTAATAGATTTGCCAGGAGTGATCGATGCTATATGGTCAGGAAGAACACAGCCTAAATAAATAGTTACTGAATGGTTTTGGGTATGTATCATTGTATCTGTATCATCCTTCATTAGATCAGTTGCTAAACTACATTGCAAGACCACACACTTTAAAGTCCTACCAATATAATATTTCAATAAGATATACCTTTCCTCAAGAGGATGAGGACAACTTTTTAATAATAATTCAGTTGTGTGTTTCAGCCTCCTTATAATAATCATTCAAATGCTGCTAATATAATTGCAATTCCATAGTGACAAAAATGGATGGAATCTTTTAATATATTTAACAATAAAGGTGCATTTGGAAAGGTAACTGATTCGGAGAGTTGGAAAAACTTGCCACTTTGATTGCATATTCTAAAAATGATTTATAAATGATGCCTTCTGATAGTTGTTCATACCTTTCTCTAATTTAATAAATGAAGGCAATCTGATATCATTGCCTATGAAAATCTTTGTATTTAATAAAGATTTTAATTTATTGATGTGCCATTTTTCAGAGGACATAACTGAAATGATTGTCATTTTAAGTGTAGTTGCTACATTTTTAATCAACTGTAAGAAATAATGCAATACATAAAACTGGTTTAGTATTAAATTATAAATATCTCACTTTACCCTGTTTAAATCATTGGAACTGATTATTTGTATGGCTTATAATGATTTACCAATTTTCACACATCTTTTTAGAAACTTTAGCTTCTCTAAAAGCTAAGTAGTAGTAATTTCTTGCCCTTACTTTCTCTATAGCATTACTCCCAAGCAACAGGATAAAGGTTGATTACATTTACTGTCATAGGATAAATAAACACTTTGATATTGGTTATGAAATTCTGTAATTTTAAAAAGCGGAAGGAAAATCACATATATGCTTTAGTTATGCTACGGTTATCAGTGATAGTCAAGGCAAGCTGGTCTAATCTTTGGAAATTTGCTTTCATATTTAACCAGTGTATGTGATTCTCTCTGACTTCATCATTTATATGATGTATAGCTTGTATTCTGTGTGCTTAAAACTTTCTGAATGTGTCTCAATATCTGTGTGTATTTATAAGTGTATATCCCTATCAACAAGTAAATTCTATAATACACACAAGTACATACCCTTGTTTTAAACACACAGTGTTCAATATAAAAATGATGGGGGTTGTTATAGTTAATGTGTTAACCATTCACAAGCAAATGATATTCTTAAATGTAGCAGATTCTCTATTGGGTTTAAGACATGTTATTCCACTGCTTTTAATTTGAAAGCCCTGTTCTTAAACTGTGAATAACCTGTACAGCAATTATCTTAAAATGTTAGCTGCTGTGTAGGTTGAAAACTAATGCATGGTAATTTGGAGTATTTCAGTGTTAAAGGTGAAGATTGCTCACTACCATTCAATTAAAAGCCACAGTTAGTCTTCCCTTGTAGATATGTATTATGCCTGAAACATTAAGGGACAAAACCTCCCACTGACTTTAGTGGGAGTAGTATTGATCCCTGGACAGATGTGCAAAAATGTCATCTTTTGAATTGAGTATTGCAGGACATTTTTTGTCAATATGAGGGACTACAGACTTGCTGCCACATGGAAGGGAAGGACAAAACATCTGTGGATTTCAATGGGCTTAAGGATTTGGATCCTAAGCCCCAGAACATTGTCATAGATTGAAAGCAAGAATTGTAGACTTTGACAAGTTGCCTTTATTAAAAAGTATTTTTCTTAAAAATGCAGCATTGCAAAATGGTAAGACTTTTTTTAAAGATTAATAAAATATGCATTTTAGTAGTTTAGACTGAAAAATACCAATGTGGATGCTTGACATTAGCCATTTACATATTTACACACCTTCATAAAAGGGACCTGCTTTTCAGAGATGGAGAGGGGGGACAAATTTCACTGATGTCAGTGGGAGCAGTGGGTTTACAACACCTCTGAAAATCCAGACATATGAATGCATATGGAGATGCCTGACTTAATAAACCTTCACAGTAATATGCCTTAATTACAATTAGTAAACATTTGCAAAAATTGGATATGTTTTTTTATATCAGTCTAGTGGAAATGTGTTTTAATGCATATGAAGGTGCAGTGTATTGTTGATTTAGTTCATGCATAATCTATTAAGAAATAAGGTACTATTAATCAGTTACTATTTGACTATTAAATACTGCCAAACACATGATACCATTTCATTACCAGAATCCAAAGACATTTTAGCATAGAAAGAGCATGTGTGTGTATTGGTTTTCCACAAAATGACACATCATTGCTCCATGAAATGCAGGGTTCAAAGTTATAATCAAATGTAATTTTGAATGGAGTCTCAATAGCTGCTTGAAGTAATTTCTGATGTTTGTAATCTTTGGTTTGTTATCCAGCTGAGTTTCAATTAGCATATGGTTTTCTGTCATTGTTGTAAACTTACAGAAGCACAATTCTACTTCCGCATAAAACGTGCCTTCTGCCTTTCTGTCAAACGAAAATAAATGTATTCAGATGGCCAAACCCATTAGCAATGTTACAGTGTATATTCCATGGTTTTTAATGAGTTTTATATTATCAAGCTGCTATTGATTAGTATATATCAAGCACTTTGTTTTTAATAACAGTATTAGTTCAGTGCCTGAAAGGGGAAGAAAAAATAATGATTTTTTTTATTACTGGTATGCTAATTGAAAGTTTAAAAATAAGCAGAGGAATTAAAATGTATGCATTGCCTGTATGAATCTTAGTCCTTAGTACAGTATTTTAGAGAGACTAGTTATGTAGCTAAAAGTTACTTATGTATATTCTATTTCAGTCCTATTGGGTTAGCTAATATATTCAGTTTCCTAACAGTTTTGATGACTAATGTGCATGGAAGCCATGGGAAATCCCCCAACTAACCTTTCTTTTTATCTGAAGTGATGAAAAAAGTCTTAAGGAAAGTAACCAGGGTTGTCATTTCCCCTCTTCCCCGTTTTTTAAAAAACTTGTTTGTTTTGTCATCTGTGATCAGGTAGGAGATTCTATGGTGTATATGAGAGACCAAAAATGAAAACAAATTCAGATGATTAAAATCTTATTTTGACTCAGATTTAGACAAATGTAGATTTATTTCAATTGTTAAACTTGTTTGGCAGATCTCTGGTGCCCAATTATTAGCTGGTGCAAATAGGAATAACTGCATTGTAGTGAATGGATCTGTGACAACTTACACTAGGTGAAGATCATCAAAATTATAACAGAATCATCCAAAACACAGGACTTGGTGTGATGGAGGACTCCAACTACCCAGACATCTTTTGGGAAAATAATACAACAGGGCATAGACTATCCAAAAAGTTCTTGGAATATATTGGGACCACTTTTTTATTTCAGAAGGTAGAGAAAGCCATTAGGAGAGAGGCTCTTCTGGATTTGATTCTGACAAAGAGAGAGGAGCTAGTTGAGAATTTGAAGGTGGAAGGCAGACTGGGTGAAAATCATCATGAAATGATAGAGTTCATGATTCTACAGAATGGTAGGAGGAAAAACAGCAGAATAAAGACAATGGACTTCAAGAAGGGAAAGTTTAGCAAATTCAGAGAATCGGTAGGTAAGATTTGTGGGAAGCAAGTCTGAGGGGAAAAAAAGAGTTCAGGAGAATAAAAAACTGCCTAAAGCGATATTTCTAAGGGCATGAGAGCAAACTGTCCCAATGCGTAGGAAAGATAGGAAGTATGGTAAGAAGCCAGGCTGGCTTAACCAGGAGATCTTCAATGACCTGAAATTTAAAGCTCAGAGAAGAGTTGTACAAGAAGTGGAAAGTAAATCAAACTACAAAGGGTGTGTGGGTGGGTGTAAAATAAATAAATAAAAACCCAAACATGTAGGGGCAAAATTAGAAAGGCCAAGGCACAAAAAGAGGGTAACCTAGCTAGAGATATAAAGGGTAACGAGAAGCAAGAGGAAGACCGG